TCACCAAGCGCCTACAGTCCGCTGGAGGTCGTCGTGCACGAATTTGCAGCCTGGGGGGCCGCCCATAGGGCATTGCTTTCCCAGGAGTGCCACGTTGCAGCAAATCGCCGGGCGAAGGGACTTGGCCGTCCGGAATAAAGTGTCGCTATCCGGGCACAGCTCTGCCGGGAGGTTGCGCCTCCCGAGCTCGTCTCTCACTGCGTCGAAGGCCGCCTGCCACGGCGCGGGCCCTTGCCTGCCGCGTCCCGCTAGGGCGTCGTTTCGGCGGCCCCCGCCCTGCCGGCCCTCTTCCCCTGCTGGCCCGTTGCCGACGCTGCTTCTCATACCTGCCGCCTGGCCTCCGCTCATCGCCCCACCCCGGGGGTTGTCCTGGGTGCGTGAGCCCCCAGCTTGGCTCTCTTGCCAACCGCTTTGGAATTTTGCGTTGGCGAGAGTTGATCGCAGAAGTCTGACCGTATCGTCCACCCGTTCCAGCAGGCGCCAAAGGCAGCCCAGTTGTGGGCCGTAGCCTTTCGCCCACATTGCCTCCGTCATATCTGCTTCGCAAATGGCGTCTCTGGTGACCTCGTTTTCCGCGGCCAGTAGCCAAGCTCGTTGCGCTGCCCCCAGTTGGGGGTGATTCGGTTTCAGCAGGCTTAACGCGCAGTCGGCCAACTCTAACCCGCCCAGTAAGGTGGCCAGCATGTTGCTGACCGTGTAGATGTCCGCGTCGTAGGTCGCAGCATACGTAGTCAAAGGGGCGAGCAGCGCGTGAAGCTTCGTAGTGAGGCGCTCCGATATCCACTGGGCGTACGACAGCCCCAACGGGCTTGAGAGCGCTGTCTTGAGTTGTCGGATGAGGAGCTCCCCTACCCCCCGGATAACTTGTTCCACCGCCGCCGCGATGTTTGTAAGCGGGGCTCTGCTGCCCAATGACATCAGTACACCGCCCACAATAGCGTCTGCCAGGATGTGGGTATGTGTGGTGCCTCCCAAGTTGGCGTTCGCGCGTACTAAGGTCTCCCGATGGCGTTCCACCGCTACCGCTGCTGCCTGGGCGGCCAGGCGACCAGGGTTGCCTCCCAATCCCATGGGCGGGGGTTGTAGGTGCTGCAGCGCTGGCATCTGCACGATCCTACGGGTAGTCATGCCTCGGGCGTCGGATTCTATCGGTCCAAAAAGCACGTTCCCAAGGAGAAGTTTACCCCCCGGCTGGGGCAAACCGTCTGATTCTGCCGCTTGGCTCCAGTGGCCCGGCGCTGGCGCTGGGTGGGCTACCGTTTGTGTTGCGCGTTTCGGGGCGAACGGAATGCCCATATTTTCCCAGCTGAGGTGGCCTGTCGCTGCCGGGTGTAGATCGCTGCTCTCGCGTTGTCTCGCCAATGCTGGGTACTCCTGGCGTTCCTCGACGGGGTAGGGTGGGGCCACTACGCCGGCGGTACGCCAAACACCAGCCTCGGGTGCGGGGTGGCCATCCTGCTCCGTGGCGCCGCTGCTCGGGTACTCGTTCGCGGGCAGACTCGGGGGCCGGGCTACCTGTCTCTCCTCCAGAGAGGTGGGAAACCGGGGCCCCGAGGGCTCGTGTAACTGTCTACCGCCTACTGGCGCGTTTCCGAGCCTCGAAGTCAGGTTGGTGCTTTCCAGGTCTAGCATGCCCGCGGCGTGCGCCGCCAGCAGCCCTTCTAGCCCGTGCTGGTGGAGGATCTGGTGGCATAGGTTGATTTGCACTAGTCGCCGGACTTGCCGCCCTGCTGCGTCTGCGGCCGATGGCTGGGAGCCCGCTGCCCCAAGGTCCTCATCTGCCATCGCCGGGGGCTGACCTGCTGGTGGCGCCGCTAGTGGGTTTAGGGTTCTCAGGCCAAACAGGTCCCGTGGGGTAGGGTTCCGGTCGGCCTGGAATGTCGCTGCTTCCCACGCGGTGAGGAGGTCGACCGCCGCCCTCGCGCCTGTGGCTTGCGCTCTTCCCGGGGTATCTAGACGCTGTCGCCTGGCGGCTGGTGAACGTGCCGTCGGCGATCCCAGCAGCTGGACGGACGGCATGCGCAGGGGTGACCCTCCCCCTAGGCCGCGAGGCACTCCCAGGGGTTCGGCTTGGCGGGAATTTCCCGAATCCGGTCCCTGGGTGGCTGCTTGTTGGTCCGGCGGTAGGAGTTGTGGTGCGCGCATGTCAGTTTCCTGTAGGGACGGAAGATGGTGGAGGTGCCGCGGGTTTGGTCTAGGTCTCCGCCTTGCCTCGCTATTGATAATATCTCGTGATGCCGAGTCTAGGTCGCCGGATATCTTGGCGCAAATCGTGTAAGGATTCCGCCGGACATTGTCTGGTCTGCCTCTGACTCGCTATGATGAGGTCTCTGGCTCGCTGGGGTGTCGGCTTCCGGTCACTAACATGGTCAGCGCCTGGCTCGCTGGGAAGTGATGCTGCCAACTTGCTGGAGGGGACGATTTGCCCCAAGCTCTCTAGGAGGGTCTGTCTCCGATACGCTAGGGGTCAGCCCCACTCGCTAAGGGGGGGGTCAGCCTCCCATTCGTTAGGGGGTCAGCCCCAAATCGCTGTGAGGATAAGCCCCGGTTCGCTAGGGGATCAGCCCCAGCTCGCTGGGAGGATCAGCCTCCGATTCGCTAGGGGGTCAGCCCCAAATCACTAGGAGGGTCAGCCTCCAATTCGCTCGGGGATCAGCCCCCAATCGCCAGGAGGATCCGCCTCCAATTCGCTAGGGGGTCAGCCCCAACTCGCTAGGAGGATCAGCCTCCGTTTCGCTAGGGGGTCAGCCCCAACTCGCTAGGAGGATCAGCCTCCAATAACGCTAGGGGAATAGCCCCAACTCGCTAGGAGGAATCAGCCTCCGTTTCGCTAGGGGATCAGCGCAACTCGCTAGGAGGTTCAGTCTCCAATTCGCTATGGGGTCGGCCCCGAATCTCTAGGAGGATCGGCCTCCAAT